AAAAAAAAAAAAAAAAAAAGGAAGAAGAAGAAGAAAGCATTTCAGGTAGAAACAAAGACAGAAGTTGGGGGAGGGGGCAGTACTCTTAGATTATAAAAAAGGATCACAGCTCTTTGAAAGGCTTTAAAAGAAGCAATGTATACTGAACTGAATGGATCAGAAAGTCATTCACTCAGAGATGTGTTCAGGAATTCTCTCCTTCTAATAATCCCCCAATGCACAAACACACATTAGCCTCACAAATGGCCCCTAATAGAAACAGCAAGGGCACAAATTTGAATCTCCTTGAGTCTCTGATAATATCATTAGAGGGCTGGGATTATGGCTCAGCGGTAGAGCGCTTGCCTAGCATGGACGGGACCTGGGTTCCATCCTCAGCACCATAAAAATAAAGGCATTGTGTTGTGTCCATCTACACCTAAATAAATAAATAAATAAATAAATAAATCATTAGTGACTGTAGGAGCAGCCATGGTCTGCTGCACAGTTTGGAGACCACATGATGGAGTAGGGCACTGGGCAGGCAGATGTAGCAGGTGGACTAAGTGTGGGCTACTGCACCAGTAAGCTCTGGACTACCAAAGGGAGACTGTTCTGGAACAAACACTATACAAGGGCCTATATGATTTGTGAAAGAGCCACCTTTGTTAAAGAACAAATGGAAACATCCTTCTAAGTTGTATAAACGAATAAAGAGACAATAATTGGATATAAAAATATTTTGCAACCCAAAAGGAGAGAGGATCAACTTGTGTGCTCAGATAAAGCTGTTGTACAAACCAGGAGAAAACAGAAATATCTCGATGAGATTTGAGATTATATCAATGATAAAATAAAAAGAGGTTTTTGGGAGGCTATGGTGTGGATCAGTGGCAGAATGCTTGCTTAGCATGTGTGAGGCACTGGGTTCAATCCATAGCACCATATAACAAAATAAAATAAAGTCCATCTACAAAAATGAAATTTTTAAAGAAGAGGCTGTCATAATAAAAACTGAAAGGATCTGGAATCTGAGGCAGGAGTTCAAAACCAGCTTCAGCAAAAGTGAGGTGCTAAGCAACTCAGTGAGACCCTGTCTCTAAATAAAACACAAAAATAGGTCTGGGGACATGGCTCAGTGGTCCAGTGCCTCTGAGTTCAATCCCCGGTACCAAAAAAAAAAAAAACAAAGAGAAAGAGAAAGAAAAGAAAGTGAAAAGAACATTCTTTTCTTTGTTGGGGGGAAGGGATCCCCAGGATTGAACTTGGGGTGCTTAACCACTGATCCACATCCCCAGCCATTTTTATTTTTTATTTTGAGATAGGATCTTGCTAAGGACCTCACTAAATTGCTTAGAACCTTGTTAAGTTGCTGGTCTCACACTTGTGATCCTCCTGCTTTAGCCTCCTTGCTAGGATGGCAGGTGTATGCCACCACACCTAACTAGGAAAAGAACATTCATTAAAAAGGAAAAAGAACATTTGTTTTCTTAAAAAAATCTTTTTGTAGTTGTAGATGGATACCTTTATTTTATTTATTTATTTTTATGTGGTACTAAGGATTGAAATGGAAAATGAATCAAAATAAAGAATTAAGAAATGGGAAGATGCTGTAAAGAGAAAATAGTGGTAATAAACCAGAAAAGAGTTTAAGTGACTATTATTAATGTGGTTGTGTGACATTGCAAATTTAAGAATCACTATTAAGAGAGAAGTTTCATACTTCAAAAAACATTCTGTAGGGGTTGGGGATGTGGCTCAAATGGTAGTGCGCTCACCTAGCATAGTGAAGCACTGGGTTCAATTCTCAGCACTACATAAAAATAAAATAAAGATATTGTGTCCACCTAAAACTAAAAAATAAATATTTAAAAAAACATTCTGTATCTACAAAATTTCATGATTTCAATATACTTGGGCTGGCCAGGTATGGTGATGCACATCTGTAATCCCAGTGACTAGGGAGGCTGAGGTAGGAGGATCCAACTTCAAAGCCAGCCTCAGCAATTTAGAGAGGCCCAAAGCAATTTAGCAAGGCTCTGTCTCAAAAAACAAAAAAGGCTGGGGATAAAGCTCAGTGGTTAAGTATTCCTGGGTTCAATACCAGGAACCAAAAACAAAACAACAAAAACCAAAACCAAACCTGGGATAGAGTCTGTTAAAAAAGAGATAATAAAAAAAGCACTAATTTTTCTCCATTCACAGACTCCATTAACATTGATAGATAGGTTTCAATATGTATATTTTAATTTCTCTGTACCACTGGTAGAATAAAAATAATAAATTATCTGAATAAATAAGGGAAAGTGAAAGAAAAAATTAAATAGAACAGAAATAAAGATGAAAACACAAAGTAAGGTGATAGACATGATCATAATAAAGAAAAAAATTTCCAAGAAAGGATTGGGAAAAAAACTAAAAATTCCTGTTCCTAAGAGTAACATCTAAAACAACAGTTTGACTGAAAACTAAGGGAACTGACTGAAAAATAGGGGAAAGCAAAATCTACTGATAGAAATAAAAAGAAAGTGAATGCGGCTATATTGTATCAAGAAAAAAGCATTAAGTGCTGTAAGAACACTTTTAATAACTAACAATAAACTAAAATTAAAGACCCCACAAGGAAGTCCTGAACCTTTTCAAAGGGAATAAAAGAGCGCTGAAATACATAAATACAATGCAAAGCTAATTAAGAATAAGAATTAAAAATTTAAATTGAAAAATATAAAGAGACAAAATATGAGTACACATTTTAGCATACTTCTCTTAGAATTTATTTATTTTTGGTACCGAGGATTAAACTAGGAGTGCTCCACCACTGAGTTACAACCCCATCCTTTTTCCTTTGAGACAGCATCTAAACTGCTAAGGGTTCACTAAATTGCTGAGGCTGGACTTGAAATTGGGATCCTTCTACTTTTGCCTCCAGAGTTGCTGTAATTACAGGTATTCACCATCTCAGTATTAAAAGAAAA